GATAATATGTTTTTTTTCAGATATTTTCATTTTCTGCTGCGCTATACCCTCTTACCTATCTGCACCACGATACCACTGCTGTTACTGACCCCCAAGAGTACGACCCCCCATGACCCAGCCCGACAGGTACGACCCCCCTGTCGAGGATTTCCTCGACCGATATTCACCCTGGTGCAGGGTATTCCGACAGCACTCTCCCATATTAATTTCAAGGGTTCCTTTCATCCTCTTCATTTCTCTCGGTCTGCTCCCACTTCAACTTTCATTGTCAAGCGTTCTCACTCCACAACATGATCATGAGACGTGCCGCTATGGGAGTCGTGAAGAGAAACTTGCTGTAACCCTTCTCCGCATGTTATACTCGATATCGGTGAGTTGGGGTAGGCGTGTCACCGGAAGTGACGTGATAGAAACTATGTGGATAAGCTGCTTCCAACATACATCGCTGGATATCAGCAAAGCATGCTGGCAACAGCTTATCCACGCACTTCTATCAAGTGCACGTCACTTCCGGTGACACGCCTACCCCAACTTTCGGATATCGACTGTACATGTACAGCCGTACATGTTACGCGGGTTACAGCAAGTTTCTCTTAGGCGTGTTTTACGGGTGTTATATAAAAACTATGTGTTTCATTTGTTCCGGCACATCATCCCATGAAAAATCATTTTCCGAAAGAAAACAAACTTACGAAATTCACTTTTATCAAATCAAACCAAATCACTTTTCAAGGACCATTTACAAACATCGAACGGAGCCACAGGAAAATGGAGCAAAGTGGCGCCCACGAGGTGACACTTGTAGGAAGAAGAAAATTCAATCCGAGCTTCCGAATTTGAACACTAAAAACACCGTTTCAGCGCAATAGATTAAGATGCAATTAGGTGAACCGTTTTTGTCCGAGCTAACAAGGTCAGAGAGATCTCTTACAATCAGTGACGGCACTCATAGTCATAGACAAGTGTAGAGTCCCCGCCGACAGATCTACAATACCGCCACTAACTTTTGAAATTTCTCCGCTGAGCGACGGATTTGCAGCGTCGCAAAGCGTCGCCCCTTCATAACTCCCCCCAAAG